ACCCCTCCCCCTTTACGCATAGGATTCTAGTACTGTTCTGAGGCATCCCTCAAGTAAAATAACATATAAATAGAATGTGAGAAATCACATTTTCTAGACTTCACACTTAGTATGAAAAACTAAACTTCATTGTGCCCTGACATATCCTCTATCATTATTTTTCTCCTACACCAAGGATGTTATCCCGTTCCACGTTGTTTATTATAATGAGCCCCTGACTTGCCTCAGCTCCTTGGTCCACATGCTCAGGCCTCCCTCACTGCCCAGATGCAGTTTGCTGGTCCAGACTGCTACATCGGGCCAATCTCAAATGTAGTTTTCATTTCCAGGGTGTTTCCATGTTTTCAAAATGGTAGAAATTCAGACACAGAAAACAGCGTGGTGGGAACATTCAGTTGTGTAACTGTATCAAAATCACTCAATACATCAAGTGTAACCTCCTCTAATTAAAAAAGGACATTGAGGAAAACGGAAGGCAGACTATCAAGTATGAATTTTAGTTTGATTCTCAACCAAAATAAGAACCTAAAGGAATCTTCCATCTGCCAGCCGTCAGTTTCTTTCGGCTTATTCGGTTGTAAAAATCTTGGGGATTTTAAAGAGATATTGAATAAATTCCGCATCGAGGGCTTGGGTATAATGTCTATGCTTGGAATATAAACCTGGACCATTTTTTCCCTCCTGTCGCATCCTTAAGAGACCCTTTTTTCTCAAAGGTATTTAGTTATAGAAATAACTTTGTATATTACATTGTCTTGGAATACGGTTTTATGCTCAAATTTCTTCCATCCCATGAGGATTTTAACTGACACAGAGAAACAGTTATAAATTAGAAGAAAGGAATTTTTTTTTTACTTTAAATACAAATAGATGACACTAACTTCTATGGCTGTGGCTCACAGCGATAAATACTTAAATGTTTTAATTATCTATAATTGTACAATTGTGCTTTTCTAAAAATTGTCTGAGTGGACATCCTTAGGAAGCAGTGTTGATTGTGTAGTATACGCGCAATGGGCATCTCACTACTACCATACAGCTCATTTACATGATTCGGGTCCAAAGAAATGGTCCACTGAAAAGGTATATGCCTATTTTCAGCCTGCATTTAGAAACAAATTTAAGAGAGTCACATGAAAAGCCTAAATGCTCTTATTTTGATCAAAGATCATTTCAGAGCATGGGATATACAAAATGTTAGGGTCTCGAAGAATGCTCTCCAAGGTCAGGCACACGCTGCATTAGGTATGAGTTTCAATGAAGTATGTTCTTAATAATTTTAAGTAATACATATATTTAAATCATACATGGTTAAGATACATTCTGTTAAGCTGTATCATATATCAAAAGTCAGCTCTGGCTTGATAGAGCACACATAAATAAGGTTATGCTATTCTTTCAAGTTCATTCATTACATATCCATTATGTATTGAAACAACAGATTTCATCGATCCTATAAATGTTGCCAAAATTCAGACACATTTGTCCTTATACCACTTCCATAATAATTTCTATATTAACTACAAATATACCTATTACAAACTTCAATATTTAGGCCACTATGACTTTTAAAAATCCCTAGATAGTCATTTTGAGTACGTATATTGACGTTTAATAAAAACAACTTGATTTAATGATTAACTACAGAGATTATAACAAACTGTAAATAAGTCATTTCCGTGAATGGACTCTGTATGAGTATCACTGCCTCTCAAAGCCATTCTTAATATCCTCACTGAAACTGTTACTGACTAATGTGCTACATTTTAAAGCCAAATTGGGTTTTCACTCTTCTCCTGACTAACTAGAGAGAATGCGTCCTTTAGCAAAATGCAAGCTCAGCTACAAACCCAGCCCTACAGAAGATTGGCAAATGGGGAGAAGTACCTTCAAATTCAAGAAAAAAAATTAGTTTTGAATTTACTATAAACTATTCTCAGGCAAGGAAAGGACTATGCTCACATAAACCTAGGAATTGCGAGTTACAGCATATTAGTCAATGTTAGAATTAAATCAAGAAACTTAACTGGATAAGGCATCCCTTTTAAAAAAAATCTGATCCATCAAATATTTGAAATTTTTAGAAAAAAATATCTATGAGTCTGAATTAACTGGATGATTAATTTAACAATTAAGTGTAAGCAGATACTTATAAGGTATTTGGGTTTCAAACAATCTTTCAAGCTACTGTTCCGTTTCTATGACCTCACCCTTTCCTGTAACAAAGTTTGAAATTTAAAGAGTTCAGCTTCTTTCACAAGAAATTACAAAAATAAGTAAAGATTTTTAGGGAGCCAGTTTGCAAAAATACTAAAAGTTTGATTTTTAAAATGTCTCTGTAAATGAATTAATATTTCTAAAAACCTCCAGTGACATCCATAAGCTCTGACTTTTTTTACAATACTAAGAAAATCTAAGAAGGGATGGGGAGGGTTAGAAACATAAACTGTTTCTTTTTATGTAACTAAATTCACTTGAAATCAAAAGATAAGTGTTCTACATATTAGACCACAGGATCGCATCATTTTAGACCACAGGATCGCAAGCAAAGATATTTTGCCATGTTTCTGAAGGCAAAAGTAGAAAAATTTTCATCTTAAGGGACAAAATCCTACTTGTGTAATAAACTTGGACTATAGCCAAAATAAAACTCCTAAAGCTGTTTTAAGAAATAAATCTATTGCTTTATATTTTAAAATGTCATTATCTCTAGCATTTTAATGGCAAATGACTTTAATGAAGAGGACTGAGCTTTTCTGTCCTGGATTTCAAAATTTACACTTACTTGACTCCCTGTTCCTTATCAACAATTTCAAACATTGCAAAAATTTAGATGGATATCTATGAATTAAATCTAAAATTATCTTAGTTTCCTAAGGAGAGATACGTAAAAGTATACCTCATTATATTAGAAATCAAAAATTGTTTTAAGCTCTATAGGAATAAAATGTAGTCATACTAAACAGGAAATTTTAAAATCTTAAGACCTTGAAAAAAAAATTTTATCTGATACAATGGGATTTTTAAAGTCTAGTTTTAGATTGGAAAAACTTGGGAGAAGCAAGATTTTTTTAGCGTTACTTCTTGGGTAAAAACACTTCTTTGATGATAGTCCAAAAGACTTACTGGAAAATGAATATTTCAGCCATTTTAATGTGAGCTATTATATAATTTTAGTATAGTGTTCACCTCTTTCTAACCTTCCAATAACCTGTTTGTAGACCATTATGACATCTGTTAAAGAAAAAGTCTACTTGATTCACCATTAATCTGATAGCATAATTGACTAGAAAGGAAATCCGGAACCAGTATTTTTAAGATTTTATACATCTTTTTAACATTTTATACTTCTTGGATATTCCCTAGGGTATGCCTAGTACACAATGCTGGGCCCACAGTGATCTAGGGCATAATTGATTATCTAAAGGAAACAGATGTCGTCAATAGTAAATGAAACTACCCATTTAAAAAAATACACTATGTATCAGCCAGATGTCAACGGGAGGCGGGGAAGAGGGGAGATCAATTTGGTTTCTAACATGATTACATGACAAATTAATTTTCTTTTTTTTAAGTGTAGCAAATAAACAACTGACTCCACTTATCAACGGGGCTGATTTGTGTAATTAATATTCTGTTCTGGTTTTGCTAAGAATTTCTTCCAAATTATATGTCAAAATATTGTTTTTATAAGTATATTCAGTTAAGTTTAAGATAACACTCTTCATTTTAAATTAGATGCTACACTATAACTTTCAACATCTTCAGAAAGCTTTGAGATGTTGTGTCCCATTACGATTACTGTCCTCTTTGAACAAGCTTGTTGTGACTGCTCAAGTAATTACTCTGTGAAGCTCGAACGTACCTTCCCTTCATGTGAAACAATTTTAATTGGTTAAAACCAAGTGTGGATTGCATGTAACAGAACTCCTATCTCAACAAAAAAAAAAGAAAAAAGGAAAAGAATTCTAAATTGTGAATTATTGTGCTTTATGACAAAAAATCTTTCTGGATTTTCACTCAAAGCCATCGGGGAACTTACAGATGGTACACTTTTATGCTCCGGACTTTATATACCACTCTTTTATAGAATGTTAGCCACACTACAGGCCATTTGATATCTATTTTAATTTTGACAGTAATACTCTAAAACTACGTTTTCATCTGTATTTTTAAGGCTGGAACTTATGGGCAATTCCAGATTTCAGGGATTTGCAAAAATTCTCTCAGGTCCGTGCTGGCCCTTAGAACCATATGTGACAATTCCTTGTAGTACCATTCAGCACATGTGTGTTCTGTCAATTCCTTAGGTCAACCAGCAATGTTTCTCACCCTGGCATGCCCAATGACACAGTTAGGAAGTTGGGGCGGTCACAAAAATTAGGAAACAGAATTCTTTTAATGATTGCATGTACTTAATTACATTTTTAAATTTAAATGAGAATTTAAAAACCTGGGGGGTTTTGAGTTCACCCAGCCACAAAAAGGACGTATATAAGTTAATCTTGGACCATCAAATGCCTGCTAATTCAATTGCCTAGAATTCCAGACATTAGCCAAGCAGTCTTCCAAATTAAGACATCCGGTCTCCTTCAATTTTCCACTTAAAACAGAACACAGAAGAATAGATCTGACCAATCAACTTAGGATAATATTACCCATGAAAATGACTTATGGTGCATGGATTAGTAGCTGGACAGCGTATTATGGAAAACCCTATGCTGCCAATTGAGATTTCCCAGATTCACAAATTTCTAGGGAATTACCTTCACATTCTTGAGCTAGGTTGTAGAAAACGGGTCACACTTTTAAAATGTGCACTTAGTATCTTCTTAAATGACTGGCAGCAAAAATGTTTGCACATTTCCATTTGAGTGACTTAAGGTCTTCTAATAATTTCATAAGCTCTGAATAGAACTGACAGTAAAAACAAAGACGCCATGTATGATACACATTTAGGGTTATGTAATACATGATCACAATTAAAATAACACAAGAAACTGAGTTCATATAATTTATTGCAGTTAGCACACAGTTTAAAAATTCACCAACACACCAACAGTACAAAACTAAACAGCATTATAAGTTATTCCCCCCTCAGGAAAATAAAACATACTATGATTGTCAAAGCTAGATGTCAGTCTAAGTTTTAGAACAAAGGAAGAATGTGAAACTAATAAAAGGAAAAAGTAATCACTCACAATGACCACAAAAAGAAAATTCAAAAGAAAGTCCGTTTTCTCACAGACATTGATTGTCTTCTCTAAATTAATAAAAATTATTTTAACATAAACTGTATTTTAAAAAAACTAGAAACTCTTCAAGTAACTAAAGATAATGCTCCAAGGCCATTTTCACAGCTTTTTTGTTTGTTTGTTTGCTTGCTTTAAATGCCATTACAGCCAAATTAACACACATTTGACCAAATATTTCCAAAACAGTCCAGCAACACACAATGGAGTTTTCCATTCAGTATCTTAAGCACAAAAATAGGCTATGTTTACAGTAGTTAAGGCGATCAAATTTTAAACAAAAGCAATTAAAAAAAAAAAAAAAAAAAAGGAAAAACAGCAAACGTTTTCCATGCTACTCCCATAGACCTTATTTGTAAGTGCAAGACAGGAAAACAAACACTGTGCAAAATGCTCTTGCCCTGTGTGCTGGTCATTAAACCACACACTGGGCTGCAGCCTCTGCTGCCGATCCACATAGTCTCCTTACCCCCTTCCCCATGTCAATCAAGGCAGTCCAGTCCTTTCAGCCTGGGGCTTTTTCAGTCCATAGAATCTTTTCATGAGTTGGGGGGGAGGGGGGTGGGATAGGGAGGGCGGGTAAGGAAGAAGGGGAAAAAAAGAAAGGGGGAGCAAAAAAAAAAAAAAAAAAGAATGACCTATTGTCAATTTGTGCAGTAGTTATTCTAAAAATGCTCAACTGGGTAAATGTGTACACCTAAACTTTGAGCTGGCATGGGTTTTGTGCAATTAGAAGTTTGTTATAAATGCACACTGCACATGCAAATCTTTAAGCTGTTTGTAAACATTTATATTTTCCTTGTTATGTAGCGAAGTTATCAATTTGCAGCTTAAGTTTTTATTCAGCTTAACAGTTTCAACTTAAAGACAGTGGGAAAGTCAATTTAAATTATATAAAATAAAAATAAAAACAGTGCATTTACGTTCTTCATAACACCAGTTTTTTTCCCAAATGGTGCTATTTTTCTAAGGAAATTAAATAATTTTAAACTCACTCGTTAAAGTTATACAATGCAAACAAAGACAAAAATATATTGAAACTCATGCATTTCTGTAGCGTTAATATTTACTTTTCAAGACTCAACTAAGAGCATCAACACAACCTGTCAAGTTCTTTGACACCCCCCCAGCCCATGTAATCAATTACAGTATACAATAACAGTAATTCACATTTTTCAATACAGTTCAACACTGCTGAAGCTGCAATATCCTTTTTCATCCCAAGCAAACCTTCACAAAGACAGCGTCCCAGTGATCCCAGTGTGTACGTTCGGCATTTCTCTCATTGGGAACCGTCAGAAAACCAGAAGTTGCCACAGAAAGTTTTAAGTCAACTGCTTGTTTAAAAATAGATAATCCAGCATTTCAGAAAATTTCCATTTGGGTCTAAAAGCATTCAGGTTTCCAACAGCCAGAAAAGATTCATGCAATTTGAGACATATAAAGAGGCTAATAAAACTGGAGGGAATTTCTACTTTAAAAAAAAAAAAAGTGGGGGAAAAAGACCTCAGAAGACAACGCAGTGTTGACAGAACGAAGCCCTATGAAAGCATTTCGCGATAGGACGATTTGTTTCAAAGGTTCTTATTGGCTTACTTCCCCTACCCCCTCAAAGAAAAACACCTCTCTATTCTCCCACTTGCCCTAAAGTTTCTTTTATCAGTATGCTAAATTAGTGAGATTCTCATGCTATTCTAAAGTGCAAAAACAAGTTAATATCCCAACTTTTTAGTTCCAGGAAACAAGACTGCTTTTAGACCGTACCACAACTATATAGAGATCTATGTATATATATGTATATATATATATATATATTATTTATATATATATATAAAATTATTTCCAGAGTTCTTGCGAGCTATCTTCTAAGGTCCAGTCTCTGACAGTGGGCAAGCTCAGTGCTTCGCTTTTGACAGACAAGGAGTTCACCAACTCACAGTGGAACTTGCGGATGTGTCTGTACAGGTCCCCCGACTGCGTGAACCTGCGCTCGCACCACTTGCACGCGTGCGGCTTCTCGCGGGTGTGCACCACGGCGTGGCGGCTCAGGTTGTGCGAGTACTGGAAGCTCTTGCCGCACTGGGTGCAGGTGTAGGGCTTCTCGCCCGAGTGAGTCCTCTCGTGGCGCTTGAGCGTGTACATGCAGGAGAAAGTCTTCCCGCACAGCGAGCAGGTGGGCACGTTGACGTCGGCGGCCGGCTTGCTGCGGATGCCGTCCTGCTCGCGGAAGTGCGTGCTCAGGTGGATCTGCAGGATGTGCGGGCTGGGGAAGACCTTGTTGCACAGCGGGCACATGAAGATCTGGCCGGCCGGGCTCAAGATGTTGGACACGTAGGGCAGCAGGCTGCTCTCCATGGCCCCCTCCACCGGGACGCGCTCGCTCTCCGGGGTCAGCATCTCGTCGTCGCTGGCTTTGTCCTCCCGCTCGAGCTCCCTCAAGACCGAGTCCTCCCTCAGCGGAGCCAGATGGGCCGGCTCATACTGTACCCTGTTATTAGTGCTCACACTTTCTTTCACAGTGCTATGTTCCATGTCATAGTCATTAGTGCCAACATCACTCTCATCACAGGAAGCCTCTTTCTCCACCTTCACCTGCACCAGGTTGCTTCTCAGCACGTCCTGTGAAGAGAAATAAGAGCTGTTCAGATTTTCAACTCCTGAAAGGCTGGACTTGACAGACAGGTCCAGCACGCAGTCAACATCTGCTGAATCCCTCACGGAGGTGACAGACCTCTGGGACAAAGACTCCGTTGAGCTGCAGGGGCTGGCTACTGTTTTTCCAGCTGCTGTGGCGTGTGGCTCTGCCTCTCCGCCCGCCGGGGGGATGCCTGCCGAGTCTGAGGGCAATCGCATCCACATGTTCCCAGGCTCGCCAGCCAAGTCCCTTTTGCTGGGCAGGATGTTCAATTTCTCGTCTTCTCCTTCATCTTCGTCACTGGGCAGGTCGCCAGCCATGTGGCTGCTGCCATCGGAGAGGCTCTCGACTTTGTCCGAACAACTTGAGGCGTCTTCCTCCTTTTTGGTGCTGTCTGCCTCCGTGGTGGCTTTCTCTTTCAGCTTCTTCTTGCAGACTTTGACAATGTCATACATGTGGAGATAACTGGCAGCTGCTAGCACGTCTTCAATGGGCAAGTCTTTGAACTGGAGTTTCCCTTCATACATGAATTCAAGCAGGAGAGCGAAAGCTGGGGCTGTAACAATGTCGCTGTTCAGATGAACAATGTCTCTTTTGTCCAGCTGGTCCTTGTAAAAGAGGTGGAAGTACATGCTGCACGAAGCCAGCACAGCTCGGTGCGCTCGGAACTGGGCATCTCCCACCAGCACAGTGCAGTCACAAAGAAAACCCTGGTGTCTCTGCTCGCTCAGACACTGCAGCAAATGTCGACTGTGGTCTGGGAACTCCATACTGTCTTCATAACCTGGGAAGAGAGACATTTCTCATGAGAACCCGGCAGGACCAACTTCACAACTTTTCAATGCCGGCCCCCACACAACAAAATAATAATTCGGCTTGGCGGCCAGGGTACATGTCCCTGAATTTTAATCAGGCGTATGACCCAAAGACTACCAAATCACATGCACAAAACCTAAACGCAAGAAGAAAAGGCACAATTTCCAAACTTCCTTACCCCAGCCAAAGAGTCTCTAATGCAGCCCCACCTTCCCTGAACTTTCAGTCAAGTTTTAAAAGCCTTAATTTCTGGACAGTCTCTAACTGAGAAGAAGAATTTAGATCCCTCTCAGAAGAATTTAGTTTGCTGATCAAATTATGTCCTAGAAAACCTACAAAGTAGCTTTAATTTCAAAGGGAACAACTCATATAATGAACAAAGAAAGTCCCAAACATACTCTGGAAGATTCAGAAAGCTTGTCTGACCATTCTTTTTATTACTTTTGATACCTGAAAGCATAATTTAAACACACACATTCAGTTGAATTAAAAAAACACACACACTCATAATGAAATTGCATAATTAGTCCAGAAATTAGCAAACAACTTTCTTTTAAAGTCAGAGTGTTACAACAACAAAGCCCTGTGTATAAAACAGATGCGAATGCCTTAAGATGTGCAGGTACAGCACACATGTACGAGATCAGAAGGCGCTACACCAACAGATGGGAAAGATCATCTTGACTACGAATAAATCCAAGAACTTTTTTTAATGAATTGGGAAAAAATGGTTATATTTCTTTGCAAAATCTGTACACCTAGAGAATTAAGAGCCAGAAGGGCTTTATTTAACTCTGAAAAATCTTATCTAAACTTTGATCCTTTGCAAAAGCAAGATGAGTTCCATATTAAAATTAATTCAAACTTTTAAATAAAGGCATGTTATGGCCAAATGAAACTGAAAAAAGCTTTACAGGTTCAACTTAAAAATAGATGCCTTGCTAGAAAAAGAGAAACTATTTTTTTCCTGACTCTGCCTTACCTCTGTCAACAGAAAATACTTTGTTTCAACATAACTTGATATATTTTGTTTTCCTACCAGCTTCTTTCAAATACAGCATTGTTGCCCTGATTTTCTGGTGAGTGTGTGTGTGTGGGGGGGGGGGGGTGAAACAGAGGGAGAGGAAGGTGAAGCCATACAATGGGTCAAAATTCAACTCCTTAAAACTAAAGAAAATCCAACTTCCCCTTTTCTGTGCCCAGAAGCAGGGTTCCATACCACCCATCTCAGAAACTACATGTTGGGAATGGGTATTCATTTAATATTTAGAAATTCCTTCCCTGCTTTTTCTATACTTTGCCCAAGATGGACTAAAAACTTTCATCCTAACCCCAAACACATTCTGTGAGATGCTACTGCTAGAATAAACCAAGATTTACAATACAATCACTTTAAGTGCCCCACAGCTAACATCAATCCTAATCCTTGAGAGGGCTAAAAATAAAGATTGGAGGGCAGCTCACAAGGTAGCCGTGATCAAATTAGGAGGCTGAGAGGACAGAGAGGGACGAAGAAGGAAGCTTATAAACATCTGATCCAGCTGACTGTGGCCATATGGCAGCTGCTGCCCAGATAAAGAGATTAAGAACAGAGGAGTGCGATTACAGCTGTCTGGCCAATTCAGGCAGCTCAAATCTACAAGTTCTAAATTAGTCGCTAACACAAAAACTCCTGCAAATAATTACTGTTATGCTGAAATAAAAGATCTCTTAAATATATATTGGAAAGAGAAATGAGGAAACCAGTCAAACTATTCTCCTGAGGACAAAAGTGTTTTTTGTTTTTTTTTCCCCTTAAAAAAAAAAAAAAAAACCTGTCGTTTCAAAAGCACTATACAGCTGTATGTTTCAGCAGTGCTGCTGAATGTTTTGAAGAATAAAGTTTCACCGTGGAATTAATTACACAACAATCTAGCTTCTCAACTAGAATAATCTTCTCATATAAGTTTGAATGCTGGATTCCAGAGTTTACTATTTCTCCCCCAACCCCAAAGGCAAAAGGAATCTGAACAGCAGTGAAAAACAACAATATAAAGCATTTTAATCCAAAGTGATCTCAAAAAGCAGTATTCCAAAGCCTTTCTTAACATTTCAAAACTTGAAATATTTCTGTGTATTAAAGTTATTTACTTGCTAAACAAATGGGATAAAAATTAAAACTAAAACAAGCCCAAGACTTTCAACTCCAATAAGATGTTCATTTAATACTCAATTTCATACATTATTCCTAAACTGGGTTAGAAAAGTAATGTGATTTTTTTTAATTAAATAAACAAAACACCAAAACACAAATATGCTCCATCTAATCTCTTGCTACTCCTACCTTTAGGACACATAAACCTGATTAAGTCCTTTCCTCTGAGTCTTGCTGGCTCCAGGTCTGTTACATCGGTGGAAAAAAAGCAGACTAAGAGAGACAGATGCAAAGTGGAGATGATGTTAGAGAGGAATGAGATACCTTCTCCACCACAGATCCGCACACACTAACTCCCTGTCTGTGTGTTAGAATAAAAGGCTGAGGGATGGCAGGCTGTCAGCTGCTCTGACATCATGTTCAGATGGAAATGCTACCTCCAGCTGTGCTCCTTTTAATGCCATATGCTACTCCTCTACACTCCTGCCACCAGCTTTTTCTTAGGAGAACTTTTCTCTTCTGTTAGTATAAACAAAATACTTCAAAGTCTCCCCTTTTTTCCAAACTTTCTAACAGAAGAAATTGAAAAACTCAGCATATGGAGTTCTACTGTATTTATGGAATAGCAACACTTCTGTCTGAAGTTGGTGGACTGGCTTACATACTGACAGCACACTCAAGCCACAGAGCCATTCAGGAAACCCAGACTCACTTTTATTCAACTCCAACGTTTAGTTTCAAAGGCAGTTTAAGGATATTTTTAAACCAACCCATTTGACATCTCCAGTCCCATTTCAACATTATTACGGCACTTTCATTTTTTTTTTTTCTGCTGAGATAATGGTACACATGTCTCAGGATGTTGGAAGACTATTCACAACTATTACTTCAGGCTGGTTCATCTTATTATCTCACTCTTATTTAACTACTTGTCTACAACTACCTTCTCAGGAAAATTTCTCACAGTCAGTTAATGCAAATTTCAATTTTCAGTATCAACAAACTGAAAGTGCACTTTCTGAAATCCTGGAAAGTACTTCGGTTCAATGAGACAAATTAATAAAGTCATACAACCTGCTACAGCCACTTAAAATGAATGCTGCACCTGCAAATCTGATCTCACTTTCTGCTCAGAAAAAGCAGAACTTCGTCTTCCCCTTAATCTGTGTCCCACAACAACCTTTTTGTGGGTCACTCTGTAATGTTTGTGATCACACAAGAAAACCTTTCAGGGAGAAAGGGTGGGGGCAGGTCTAGTAAGTTTGGGAACTTTTTAGCTAGACTTTGTGGGCCTTTTCTAATGGCTGATGAAATCGGAACGTAATCCGGGCTAGGCTGACTGTTGTCCTGCAAGGTGCTGCGACATCTGTGAATGTCAAATACATCTCCACAGACTCTAGGGAGGGTGAGGAGGAGAAAAGGAGCTGGGCCTGAGGCGCAAGTGTGGCAGCCCTGGTGATAATAACCACTCCGTTCTCGTTAGAAAACCGAGGCAAAGAGTTAAAGAGTAACAAAAACCAACGTCTCTGTCCTGTCCTTCTCGCCTTCCCAAAGTCACAAACCTAACTTTCTCGAACTTCGCGATGAATGACATAATTACGAATGCCTATTTCAGGAAGCACTCTTCGCAGTTAAATTCCTTCTTAGCCACACAACCTATTCGCCACAAATGCCCTCGCCCCATTCCAATATATCAGACATTAATCACCCCATTTACCCAGTGGGGTGGGGGCTGAGTGACAGTTTAATGAGTCCCAAGCACCGCAATGGGCCGGCCAGCGGCTCCCACTCCACAAATCAACCCCTCACGTCCTGCTACCGTGGGCCCAGAGAGGCCGGTGAGGCTGGATTTTGTTTTTCACAGAGGTGGGGGCAGAGGGAACAGAGGGGAGGGGGGAAGACATGCAAATCTTCCCGTAGTTGGCTGTGCATAAAAACACACGGGGAAAGAGGAAGGTTAAACCACAGGGAAGGAGGTGGAGGGCGTAGAGCCGGTGCTGCAGGAAAACACCTTAAATAACAGACGAGAAAACAGACCCGGGTCAAGGAAACAACAAAAGAAAAGTCGTAAGAAGAAGCCAGGGAGAGGCGGGTGGTTGCTACCGCTTCCCTGCCGCCCCAGCGAGCGAGCCCCGGGGCCTCCGGGCAACTGCACCAGCCCGGGAGGGGGGGCTCCCCCGCAGCCCCCTCCCCCCGGGCGCCACTGCAGCTGCACCGGTCCCCGGAGCCGCGGCCGTCCCGGGCGCCACTGCAGCTGCGGCGGCTCCCAAGCCCCCTCCCCCAGCCCGCCGCCCTCCGCACCCGGGAGGCGCCACCGCAGCTGCACCGGCCGGGAGCCCGCCCCGCGCCGCAGCTGCACCGGCCGGGGGGGCGCGGCGCGGAGCCGGCCAACCCGCACCCCGCCCGACCCCGCAGCTGCAGCGGCCCCGTCCCCGCGCCCGGGCCTCCCGCAGCTGCGCCGCCCCCCGCCGCCCCAACCGCTCCAACCACACAAACTAACTCCACTCGCGGGGGCGCCCCCGGCCCGGCCCGCCCTCCGCCCGCACTGCCCCGCCGGCCGCGGCCGCACAGCTGGCGCCCCCCGCCCGCAGGGGCCGGGGCGCGGAGGGGGCGCCGGGTCAGAGGCCGGGGGCCGGCGCCGGGACTCACACGGAGCGGCCCTAAGTCACCGCGTCCCCGCCGCCGCCGCGTCCTCCGCCTCCTCCTCCCGGCCGTCGCCGCCGCCGGACTTGGTGGGCTTCCTCCTCCTCGTGCCCCCTCCCTCCCGGCCCCCCCACCCCCCAATCCCGGCTCCGTCGCCCGCTCCCCCTGCCCCCTCCCTCCCTCCCTCCCACCCACCCCCGCTGGCAACCAGAGGAGCGCGGCGGAGCGAAGAGGGCCCCACTCTCAACGGCTCCCCATGGCAGCAGCCCAGCGGCGGCCGCAGCCTGCCAGACACAGCGAGGGAGCGAGCGAGGGAGCGAGCGCGGAGCCGCCGGGCCGGGGGGGCGGGGGTAGGGGGGCAGGCGGGGGAGGGGGCGGGAGGACGCACCACGCACGCACGCGGCGGCGCCGGCCAGATGTTTCCCCCACCACCTCGGTCCGCCCCTCTCCTCCCCATGCCTCCCTCCCCGTCGGCATTGGGCTTCTACGATTGACCGAAAGGGCCTGGACCGGCATTCCCGCCCGCCCCCAGGCCGCAGTCTCCTCCAATAGGAGGACGAGTTTTCAGGAGGGCGGAGGCAGTGGCGGGCAATCGTCGGACTGGCAAGAGGGCCCAGCCAATGGGAGGAACGAACTGGAGCTGCCGCTCGCGCGTCCCAATCGCTGGCAGAAATTGTTGGGGTGGGCGGGGCCGTGCGGGCGGGGGCCGGTAGCGAAGCGGCGCGGGGCGGAGTCCTCGGGCGCAGCGGCGGTGGCGGCAGCGGCGCCCCTCTGGGTGACTTGGCCGTGAGAAAGTGAAAGGAGCCCGCAGGCGGCGGCGACAGCTGCGCTGGGAGGGGCTTGTTTCCAGGCTCGGAGGCCTCGCGCGCTCTGGGGTTGCGGAGCAAGCTCTTCGTTGTGCACCGTGACAACCATAAATATACTTTTAAACGTAGTGGGGCTTGGCCGCTCTAAGTTATGCAGGTATCCTCGGGAGCCAGGGTACTCGGGGACAGATGACTGGAGTCCGGCATTGGCTTACTGGAGCCCCTCTGCTGCAGGTGACGACGGCCAGGTCCTCGCCTGCCGGAGCGAAGGGGAGTAAAGCTGAGGGTCGTTCTAGCTCGATCCTGCGGTGTCCCGTTTCCAGGTGCACATCGGGACGCTGCGGACGCTACCGGCTCCAGAGGCTCAGTGTCTGGGCGTCATTCTCCTTACGTCGTCTTGTTGCAGGCAACGCAGAGTGCCTGTGTTTCTCGAAGAACCCTTATGTTCTGCACTGTTGCAAGTAAAAACATTCCCAAGTGCCCAAATTTTAGGGAATTAGAGTAAAATTGTTTCACTTGCACTGTTGCAAGTAAAAACATTCCCAAGTGCCCAAATTTTAGGGAATTATAGTAAAATTGATGCTTGTAGAAGCCTTAGCCTGATTCGTTAATTGGTACGTATCAAGCCACAACTTTAAATTGCCGAGGGAAGATATAAGACGGTTGCCTTGCTGTTCCTTTCTTCAAATAAACTTTTATTCGATTCCTGTTCTTTGCAATTAAACTGTGTTGATTACGGCCACGAAGAAATGTAGAAACTTAAACCCTCAAGAAATTGGAAATCTTATTAAGCAGGCAAGTTTTACAAGTAAAAAGTTGAAAAGCAAGGGAAAGAAATGGTTCAATAACAAATAGAAAACTGCAGAGTGAAGAAGTCAGTAGACTAGTCATTGTCAAATGAAATGTGTTTATTCTTTGCTAACTGAACTGGCACTGGCAAGCCTGTTGCTAACCAACTTGCCAGGAGACCTTTCAACTGGGCAAAATGTGCTTTCACTTTGTTCCAGGCCGAATGGGTAAACTAAGTTGAAAGTACTGTGTGGGCAAATCAGACATGTTGAATTACTAATGAAGTAAAAACAAGAGCACCCAAAACTCCGGAACTAAAATGCTATTGGAATGTCCTATTAGAAGCAGTGATGTTCTCTACTCTCACCTGAACCTCTTTGTGGACTCTCAGGATTGATCCCAGAGGTGGAAGTCATCTATAACTAGAGTCTTTTATTCCATGAAATACTGAGTGGGGCAAAAGTAGGTTTACAGTTGTGAATAAAAAGTTTATTCTTGTATTATTACTTATCAATGATTGTACTAGTTGCTATACAAGCAACGATGAACCTACTTTAGCCCCACCCTGTAAATTGTTGTTTCTGTGCTTCTGGTGAAGTCTAGATCCTTTAGTCTTTTGGTAGGAGGCCCAATTTCAGTGTGACCTGTTTCAAGTAAGGGAAATGTATAAATGTTCTTGATGAATGAAATACACTATTTTAAAAAAAAGGTATGAAAGTGAGTATATGCTTTACTAGGAAGTTTGGGGAAAACGGGGAAAAGTGCATTCTCAGAGCTGTTTCTCACCTATTAAAAGGTAAAATAGATTAATAGAGTGAATTGATAGTGTTAGGACATTAGGTAATACATTCATGAGAAAAGTAGAACATTCAGATTGTCCACAGAAAGCTTAGAAACTCATTTCTATGGCATCTACAGTAAAACGACTGCTCTAACAAAAGGTTTTACAGAACACACCTACCGGTAGAATAACAGCCCCAAGATCTGATGGGGAGACACTGTACATCAAAAGTTGTGAGCCTTGTTTTTTAGGTCCGACAGTCATTACTAGAACCCATTTTGAGAGCTGGTAGTGTAGCCAGGAAGTATAGATTACATGGATATCTATATTAGTCGGTATATTATCCCTCAATTATGTAAAAGATTTTATAAATTTATGAAAATGCGTGGGATATTTGTACATTGTCAGAATCAATAAAAACATCTGGGGTATTTGTTATGTTCAAGGAAGGTACTCTGATGGGATACAGAAGAAAACCAAAAAGGATGAGACAGTTTCTCTCCTACCTGAGGTTCAAGTTTAGTTGGAAAAGAAATGGCATGAATATATAAAAATCTAAACAGAGGAGCTAAATAACAGTATTATAATAGTATATGAAAGTCAGAGCTAAATTTACTATTCAAGTTTTACAACCTTCTATCCCTAGTCCCTGGGGCGGTTGTATTTTCTC